AATTGGTTGGATTAAATTTGAAACGGTAAGTTGTAGTCATTTTATTTTGGGATTTTTGGAGGAAGTGTGTGTTTTTTTTGGCAAAAGCATTTTTTTATTAATATTGTTATTATTATTATTATTATTATTATTGAGGCATAAAGCAAAAAATAAAGACAATTATTACGTACCTTAAGACTTTTTTGTAAAGGTCTTTATCTTTTGCTTTACGCCATGTTTTTTTATTCCTAAAAATTAATAAAAAAATTACAATTCTATTTATAGAAAAATCCATAGATTTCATTTTTAATTAGGTATACAAAATTCTTAGCAAACATGAGTTTTATTATTTAAAAAGTAGGTATATAATATACTATATATTTATTATATTTTGAAAAGTTTTATTTTACTTAAACAAATTATGTATATTATTGAAAAAAAAGTTATATATTATTAATACTTTAATACAATTTTGTAGGAATAAATAAAAAACAATATATCGATTTTTTAAGTTTTTTATACCTTGACCTAGTTCAAACAAACACTCTTACAAGTTCTAAAATCCAAACAAAAAACTATTTCTTATAAATTTTGTTAAAATTATCATTATTTTTCTATTTATACCTACTAATACATTATTTTATCTTTTGGATTATAATAACCTATATCAGCAAATTATATTTGTACACATTATCAATTTTGTAATAAATTTACAAGGTAAACTAAAAATGATGTAAGAATTATGAAATTATTGATGAAGAAAATAAAACTTGTTTTAAAAATTCTATTATCAAACATTAGCAATTATGACGTCACATGATTTTCCAATTGTGACGTAAATTTTGCTTTTCAATTCGTCACCCTAATATAACAAGGTTGTATGTTAAAAAAAACGAAAACTTTAAGTCTATGTTTCAACAGGATTATACGTGGCCTACGATTCACATCCCACTTAAAAATAATTCTATAGAATGTATATTCTATGTATACATATATACAGAGTTATTTTCAAGTTGTATGTCAAGGGTGGATTACATAAATCCTTGTAGAAGCATAAACTCAAATTTTTCGGTTTTTTAACATACAACCTTGTTATATTAGGGTGACGAATTAGGTACGAACATTTTGATGATTATTAAGTTTAAAAGTCATGTAAACATAAGTTTATATATTTTTTTGTTACATCCTAATTGAAACATTAAAATTAGAAAGCGTTTCTGCAATGCACAATAATCTTAGAATAAATAAGGAAACGCACTATAAGAGTAAAATATTTTTTTTCTGAATGGTCAGTGATTTTCAATCTGAACATTTGCTTTGACAAATTAAATGCTAGCGCTAGAAAAGATTGTTTATTTATGACATTTCATTTTATTATTGGAGAAAGGTTTTGCATATTAAAATCACAATCCACACAACAAGGTCTGTTCTATCTCATGCTAAAAATACTAAAAATCACTGCAACACTGCACATAGTTTAACGGCGGCCATGTTTGTTGTTTACAATTCTTGTGCTTTGGGTTTGTGCTGTTTAATAATTGTTTTAAACGTTGTGTTTCTTACAGAGGCACTTGTAAGCCTCAAATAAGGCCTTTTAGTGCTAAGGACAACCATTTTACTCCTCTTTTATAATAAATATACCTTATTCTATCAGGGCTGTCAAATGACAATTTGAAGGTTAATTTGTGGGATATAATTTAACCTTAAAATTGACATTTGACAGTTTTATGACAGCCCTGATAGAATAAGGTTTATTTTTTACAATAGAGGAGTAAAATGGTTGTTCTTAGCACTTTAAGGACTCTTTTAAGGCGTACTATGAGAAACACAACGTTTAAAATGATTATTAATCTGTATAAACAGAGCACAAACCCAAAGCACAAAAATTATAAACAACAAAAATGGCCGCCGTTAAACTGTGGAGTGTTGCAGTGATTTTTTGTATTTTTAGTACGAGATAAAACAGACCTTGTTGTGTGGATTGTGTTTTGCATATTAAAATAAAGTCCGCAAAGATTGTATGAAATTTGACCCTTTCCACCCATCGATATAAATGCAAATATTAACAAGGTTCCTACGATTCTTTCATAACCACAAAACTATTTTTGTTCAGAATTTTCATATCTACCACATATTTGGTCGATGACGAACAATGTAATAAACTTTGAATGAAACCGACGTGAAGTTGACCGCATTTGCTTCCTTGAGGAAAAAAATATATAAACATAGTTTTTTCAGACACAAAAATGACCTCTCCTGCAATCAACAACGGCAACGGCCAAAAAGAGGCGTCGAAGAACGGTTCCGCTTCGACTTTGAGTCAACCCTCGCGAACGGACGAGGATGCACGAGCGACGCCGATCTTCACCGCGTGGTGGCGCGTTTTCAAACTGGTCAACCTACTGACGAAACCCAACTGTTAAAAGAAGAAGAAGAAGAAGACAATAACGAACCATAGACTCCCTGTTATTATAGTAATTCAATGTTATTACGAAGTAGGAAAATCAATTATTTAGACGTACATCGTTCGAGACGTAATATAGTAAATTTAAAAGGAAACGACGTACACGTCATCAATCAGCTGAAAGTGCAACTACAGGGCGATAGATGGCGTTTACATGAATAATACCATAGGGTCCCTAGATTTGGGACCTTAAAATACCAAAATGCCAAAAGTCGGAGTTTTATAACCTATATGATGCACCGACAACTTAATTTGGTTAAAATGCATTAAAATATTCAATTACTTCGTTGTATACATTTAGTATTGGTACCAAAAAAAAAATTATGACGTCGTTTCCTTTTAAATTTACTATAACTGCGTATGGCTCGAGGTGTACGGCACCCTTTAGATTCGTTAAGCGACATATCCATTGTTAGATGTTGGTTCTAGTCTTAATTGTTGATTTTTTAAGTTGTTTGTTTGGGACGGCCATTGATTTTTTTGTCTTCCATATATAATAACAAAAGGTGTATAAACCATTTATAAATCTTTTTGCCTGTCCTTTTTGTCCAGTTTGTTAAAGAATATTTTTGAAGAGGTAAATAAATAAAATAACTGATCCGTGTCCATTAAAGTTGCCATAGATTTAACCCAATAGTAATAAGCTACTAACAATTTTGTGTATATTGTCATTTTTTATTAATTATAATAATTGTTGTTACTTATTAATTTTATTCCAATAATATATTGTATTTTTGGTATTACATTTTTGTTCAATTAATAAATGTTTCTTTTTCCTACCTGAATTTTGGAGCATCCTTCAGCAACGGACTTAAATCTGACGTACTAACTGATGGTGGACGGGAATTGCTGGCGGAGTTGCTAAAAAAAATCAGCTTCAGCTTCAGCTCGATAAAAAGTTCTTTTCTTACCATATTCTGACCACCCCGGGATCCAAATCGAAATTGCTTTCAGAGGGTAGCTTAACGTTTCCAGTGCTCAACATCCTTCGAAATTTGAATCTAAATCCATTAGACGGGGATTTCGGTGAACTGGACGTAAGTTTCTCATAAACAGGACTCTTGGGTTCCATTTTAACACAAAAACACTATTTTAAGCGAAACACTGTTTGAACGAAACTAAAGCGAAATATACTGAAACTAGGATGAGATATGGGAGTGCTTCCTGTTAAAATGGTATACCACTTCCTCCAGTTGAGATACAACTACTAAATATGTATGTTGAATGTTTAAACCGCAAATTAATAAAATTATTGTGCGTTTTCAATTTCGCTAATTAATCGGGTGTGGACTTAATAATTACTTTGAAAGGACGACAAAAAAGGAAAAACAATTTTTTTTTTTTTTCAAAAAATGTGGAACGCTTCACGATTTTGCGTGTCATCCTTGCGCAGGGGCCATGCTAATCTTCTCTGTATCGTTCCAATTTTAGTATATGTACCGCCGAAGCGAGTACACTGTATTAAATCTAAACGTCGTATATATACTTAGCGCGACTGCAATAACACCGGCGAGATGTAACATCGCAAAATCATCCATAACTTTCCTATTTATCAAGATATTTTAACGGAACGGAACAAACGCTGAAATGTATTAAATTGTATCGCAAACAACATTATCACAAACAAATTGTAAAAATGTATGGTGATATTAGTGATATCAGAGAATTTACTTTAATTTAAGTATGTAGCGCCATCTATGTGAGAACGCTTTAAGTGGGAGAATGGAAACTGCCCAGTCGGTCACCTTGCGCTGGTATATTCGCAAAATTATCGATTATTCAGTCATTTCGCGACCAGTGAAGTTGTAAGTGTTCTGTGATAGGTACGTACTTTATCTCACAACTTTTTTTTAAGAACAATACTACACTTTTCCTTTTATATTGCCTATAAAGCCTTCAAAACAAGTGTGTATAGTTTTTTAGCTTAAATATAATTAATTAATGGTTATGGATGTGTTGAACGGTTAAATTGTTCATAACTTTTAATTATTATGTAACAACGGGTTATTTTAGTAGCGAAGTTGGCTGTGGTAATATAACTGTCAAATAAACGTCAAATTTACGTTTTAAATCATATAATATGTTATATAATTAATTTAATTTGTAAGTTTGACATTGTCTTATTTTAACCCAACCTTGCTCTAATTTTACTTTAAATTACGAACAACATCACTTTTTATTTAGTACTTTGTAATTGAAGTAAAAATTTTCCTCGTGCAAGTGACTAATTTGATGACGCAATCATTGCATGCATTTACCTAACCTCTTGTAATACCTAACACGTGCGACACGTGTTTTATGCAATAAATTTTATTATTTTATTTTGTTATTATGCCAAGATAAACTCAATTTGGTATTTTTGGCGCGTCAAAAAACGTTATCAATTGTTTTGATTATCTCACTTAGATAATCTAAGCCTACTATTGTTTAGCGAGTGAAGTATTTTTGACCTTGAGGCCTTGAATCTTTTACATAACGGATTTGATCGACACTTACGTCATTAAAGGTGAGATTTTTATTGTTTTTCAGCTTTAATTAAACTAATAAATCGACAAAAATGGGAGTACCAGCTGGTGATGTAGAAAAAGGCAAGAAACTCTTTGTCCAAAGATGCGCACAATGCCACACCGTTGAGGCTGGAGGCAAACACAAAGTTGGACCCAACTTGAATGGACTAATTGGTAGGAAAACCGGACAAGCTGCAGGATTCGCCTACACTGACGCCAACAAAGCCAAAGGTAAAAAAGTTTTTTGAATTTTTTTCTTTGAGTTTTGAATTTTGATATAAAAATGGAATAAATTACCTATATGTGATTAGGTACACTTTAAACTATGTAAATATAAATTTTTATCAAAAAATATCGAAAATTCAATTTTTGATATTTTTTGATAAAAATTTATATTTACATAGTTTAAAAGTGACCTTTAATTTGAATTTACAAAAATTATTGTAAAAAAAAATCTTCATTCTAGGTATTACATGGAACAAAGACACACTGTTCGAGTACCTCGAGAACCCCAAAAAATACATCCCCGGCACCAAAATGGTGTTTGCCGGTTTGAAAAAGCCACAAGAGCGTGGCGACCTCATCGCCTACTTGGAATCAGCAACCAAGTGAACAAGTTAACTAAATTATTTATACTGCAAAAACACGATCTAAAAAACCATGATACTAAAACATAGATAGCGAAAAAATTATCTATATTCTACTGTTAGTTTGGTATTGTAGGTTTTTTATGTTGTGCTTCGAATTGTATCAGTAGTATTTCATTGTACAAAGACGGATTTATCACTTGTCTGACAATGTGAGAACTTGTACAAACTAGCCAATTTTATTCAATCGTTTTTATTTAATGAAACATACGATAAAACTCTGTACAGTATGCTGTAGGTAATTTTATTTTTATTTATTTTCCTCTATGCATAATGTTACCTCAACAGACCTTATTTAAAATAAATTATTTATGAATATACGCTTTTTCATTTAATATTCTTAATCAGCTGTCCAAATTATTTAAAATCAATAATTTATGTTCCTAATAATAAATTTTGTTGCATTTTATCTAAACATAAACAAAATCAAAGTTCTAAGACCGAAATTTGGACTCTTATGCCTTCTGACCTTTAAGACTTTTGTTATTTAACATCTGTTTTGAAGTCTACTTTTTTCTAATATGTATCAATGCTGCAAACCTCAAAAATAAACAACTTTATGTGTTATTCTGCTTGTCCATGTAAAAATTTATACACCAAGGGATAGTTTTGTATTTTTAAAATGCTTCATAAATACTGGTGGTAAATAATATAATAATTATAACAATAAATACCTTTTTACATACTTTTTCAGTCAATTTCAACAGCAAAACACATCTTATAATTTATAAGTTATAAAAACAAAAAACTAAAAACATTTGTCATTTCGACGTTCACTTTTTTCGAAAATCAATGCTGCCAACCACAAAAATTAACAAGTTTATGACACAAAAACCAAGTTTATGGCACAAAATGTAGACTTTGTGTTTGCTTACATCATTAAAAGTGTGATTCTGGTTAGCCACGTAGCAATTTAAAAGATTTTTACACCAAGCGATAATTTTGTATTAGTTTTACAACGCTTTGAAGCCATTGCAAAAAAACATGTTTTTTCAAGTGATAAATGCTCACTGATGGAAAATATCATAATAATAATAACAATAAATACCTTTTTTCATACATTTTCACTCAATTTTAACAACAAAACACAAAAAAACAAACTAAAAACATTTGTCATTACGACGTTCACTTTTTTTCGAATATCAATGTTGCCAACCCCATATTATTAAGTTAAAAACCATTGCTACCAACCACAACCACCAACACATAAAAATAACACAAAAATCATGATAAAAACGTTTATTTAAACTTTTTCGCATTCTATCTTAACATTAATATTACAGGACGCCATTTGCGTGACGAAAAACTTAAAAATATAGGGGATTTGAATTTCGGAAATGTTTTCGTTGGTGCCGCACAAACTGCAGCTATCTTTTGTTTCCGACAAGTGCGGTTTGTTGTCTTTTCTCGTCACCATGGTGATGGGGCCCAGTAAAGACCCGCACGCTGTGCAAATATTGGCCTGAAAAAAAAGGGTTTTGGAAGACCAAAAAATATGCGAATCACATGGAACTTACCGTAGTTCTGTCAGAGCAATGTAAAAGCCTGTCTTGGAGTAAAAATGACGCCCCATGACTTATGAGGGAGTCTCTTTCCATTTCCCCGAATCTCACCCCACCACCGCGCTTTCTACCTTTCAGGGGCTGCCTTGTTAGAACGTCTATGGGCCCTGTGGATCTAACCTATAAATTTTTTTGTTTTTTTTCTGTTTTTTTTTTTTGTTTTAGTGAACCCACCTGCCATTTATCGGACACCATGTGTCTTAACCGTTGGTAGTGGACCACACCGAAAAATATTTCGGCCTTCATTTCCCTCCCATCGATTCCAGAGTACATGGTTTCGGTACCATAGTAATTGTAGCCACCTGTACGCAAGAAATTTTTTTTTATCGAACTATTAAAAAAATTAAATAATTTTTTTTACCCGCTTCCAAAAGGCGCCCGAAGTAATCGATCGCGGTGTCATCTTCGTTGAATTTGAAAGGCGTGGCGTCGTGGACTAAGCCGTGCAGAGCCGCCGATTTACCGGCCATGATTTCAATCATCATGGCGATTGTCATTCTCGAGGGGAAACCGTGGGGATTAAATACGATATCGGGAACCAACCCTAAAATGTCCAATATTGAAAAAATGGTGCCTGAGGGTTAAGTCGATTATCTCCGTAAATGTCAGTGCTACGCTAAAAATGGTCATAACGAAAATTGTTAATGAAGAAATTCCCAACAACTTTTATTATGCACTTTTTTTGCATCATTAATATTTAAAAAGTTATACCCTAAAAATGTCGAATATTAAAAAAAAATGGTGCCTGAGGGTTAACTCGATTTTCTCCGTAAATGTCAGTGCTACGCTTAAAATGGTGGTAACGAAAATTGTTAATGATACAATTCCCAACAACTTTTATAAAACACTTTTTTTCGCATCATTAATATTTAAAAAGTTATATCCTAAAATTGTCGAATATTAAAAAAAATGGTGCCTGAGGGTTAAGTCGATTATCTCCATAAATATTAATGCTAGGGTAAAATGGTTATAATGAAAATATTAAACGAAGAAATTTCCAGCAAATTTTATTTAAAACTTTTCCCATCATTAATATTTAAAAAGTTATACCCTAAAAATGTCCAATAATAAAAAATAAATGATGTCTGAGGGTTAAGTCGATTATCTCCATAAATATCAGTGATACGAATATTTTTTTTGCGCCATGGTAGAATATTCTTAGTAAATTAAAATTAAAGGAATAATTATTATAATCATGATATTATTATCAGTGTGGGAAATTCACTTGTTTCTCGATGGATATTATACGTAAAAATTTGGATATTTTTAGAAAAATTGCCTTTTGAATATTTCGTACCTATTACCCCTTGAATATAATTTTAAAAATAAAAAAGTCAATTTTTCTGAAAATTTCCTAATTTTTCCGTTTTTTTTTCGAAAAAAAAACGGTTTTTTTCCGCCAGCTCAATTTTTACGGAAATTTTAAATCCCTAGTGCTACGCTAAAAATGGTTATAACAAAATGAAGAAATTCCCGACAAATTGTATTAAAAACTTTTTTTACACCATTAATATTTAAATATGTATACCCTAAAAATGTCCATATTAAAAAATAAATCCTGACAAATTTTATTGAAAACTTTTTTTTGCATAATTAATGGGTATTTAAAAAGTTATACCAAAAATTTCCAATATTAAACAAAAATGGTACCTGAGGGTTAAGTCTATTATCTCCATAAATATTAGTGCTAGGGTAGAATGATTATAATGGAAATTTTAAACAAAGAAATTTCCAGCAAATTTTATTAAACACTTTTTTTGCATCACTAATATTTAAAAAGTTATACCCTAAAAATGTCCAATAATAATAAAAAAAATTATGCCTGCGGGTTAAGTCGATTATCTCCATTAATTTCAGTGCTAGGCTAAAAATAGTTTTAACAAAAATTGTTAACGAAGAAATTCCCAACAACTTTTATTTAAAACTTTTATTCGCACCATTAATATTTAAAAAGTTATACCCTAAAAATGTAAAATATTAAGAAAAAATGGTGGCTGAGGGTTAAGTCGATTATCTCCGTAAATATCAGTGCTACGCTAAAAATTGTCGTAACAAAAATTGTTAATGAAGAAATTCCCGATAACTTTTATTATGCACTTTTTTTCGCATCATTAATATTTAAAAAGTTATACCCTATAATATTAAAAAAAAAATGGTGCCTGAGGGTTAAGTCGATTATCTCCGTAAATTTCAGTGCTACGCTAAATATTTAAAAAGATATACCTGTTTCTGTGAAGGGTAAATCCTCGGCGGGCCATTTTTGCGAACATATACCTTTCTGTCCGGCCCTACTGGCGAATTTATCGCCCACACTCGCGTTCCTCTGCAAAAAGTCATTAATAAAGTTACTAAAAAACACCTCTCGACTTACTTGAATCCTGAAGGTTATGCATGCGGTTTTCGGCGCTTTTACGCCAAAATCCCCACACAACCTAACGCTGTGCACGAAGCACTCCTCCTTGCCGCCGAATTTTTTCGTGACGTAGTTGGAAGTATCCGAGCTATAGAAACAGTACAGCGGATCGCCGGCTTGGATCTTCCTGCCTATCACCGGCAAACCGTCAGTGTCCACGAATTCGGACAGATTCTCCTTGTTGGGGTCCCTGCAGAAGTAGGAGTGGGGGTGGTCCACCTCCACAAACTCCGATTTGTAGATGGAGCCGTGCGCGAAACCGCGCTCATCAGAGGACTTGTTGATAATCATCGCGTCCTCCATGTCATAGCCCTTCAAAAGTTACCATCGTAAAATACGACGAGATTTTCGCCATCACAGCAAACGGAAAAATATAGAACTGTATAGGATGACTCCGCGTTTGAATATCAAATCTTAAAGTTTTATCAGAACTGTATTGAATCGTGCTTTGTTTTTATATTTTTCGGCTCTATACCTATGCACGACTATATTTAGTCAAACTCAATGGTGTCTTACAAGATACATTATTTTGATTTTCTATATTCAACAGAGAGGTAGAAACTCGACCCTGTCATTTATGTCTCTAGAAATTATTAAAAAAGGGTTCAGTCCAATGGTGCAGCAACTTCGGATTCCTATTCTCCTCAGCGACATAGAAAATCAAGCTTTTCGAATTTTACTGGCAATGATTTTCGTTAATGTCCCCTAGAATTATACAAAAACAGCGCAATGCAATATCGCAACGGTTTCGACTTCTCTTTACTCTACCAAGTTATAGAAACTGGAGTCTCTCTAATACTGTTCTAGTCAATATTTCTGAGAGTATAAAAAGAGGGTGTAATATTGCAAGAAGTTTTGATCTTTTGATGGATGCAAGTAGTTTGAATTTTTTCATTTCTGCATATGAATTTGTTGAAAATAGTTCCTTTTTTTGGTTCCTTTGTCTGATTTTTATTTACCGTAACAACTCAGGTATGTAAAGCACAGGGGATATGATGTTAAGTATGTTTATGTATTAATATATTTGTATTAAAAATTTCAGAGGTTATGTTGAAAAAGTATTAAACTTTAATAATTTAGTAATGAGGTCTGTTGGTAGACCCTGCACTATCTCCACTGGTATATGTTAGTACAGCAATATTTAAATCTGGTTGATGAAAAAGTACACACCAGTGCAGGTTATTGTAGCATCTACAAACAAATGAATTAATGGCCCATTGGCAATTATTCCTTTAGGAAAAATATTCAACACAGCTTAATTAATTAATAAAATGAAAAAAATCACAATCATGTCGTATATAGTTTTTTTTAAGCATAAAATAATTTTTATATTAATACTAGTTCAAAAGTGAAATTACGACCTCTATACTGTGGAGAGTATTGAAACGCTCGGCTGACGAATACAAATCTATACCGTGGGGAGATTTACAAAACCATATTCAAACGTGTCGTCATCCTATACACTTCTATAATTTTCCGTTTGCTGTGTCCATACAAACCTACCGTGTAACTGATTACGGCCACTATTGCGTTGGTACCCATGGCGAAATCGTCCAGCGCGATGTTGTCGTGATGCACGGGCCTGAACAAAGGCGTCCCGGGGGTCTGGAGCCTGTACAACTTGGTCTCCGCCTGTAGATCCCAGTTGTGACAGGGCGAGCCCATCGTTTGCTTGCCCATCTGACACTGATACATGTTACGCGGCGATTGGTTACAGTCCGGCATCGGAATCAGCATCGCCAAGTTCGAGAGAAAACCTGTTTTCGACAGTTCCATATGGGTTGTAACGCCTGAAACGTTACGGTCATGTGAATTGAAGATTTTAACCCTTGTGGGAAGTATAGACTCTTTATTTAATGTTGTGATGAATGAACGCCTGTTGAAGGTACGTGAATACTTCTAGCAAGCAAAACTGAGCTGATAAAAATGAAAGCTAGCTTATATAGTTGGAATTGATTGGCAAGAATTAATAACAATAAATATTAATTAAAGGTAATATCGGCCAATTTTGTTTAGACAACACGAGTTCAAACGAATTGAAAAATTCGTTCGAACATTTTTTTAAAAACCTATATCTCAAAAAAACGATTCTTATTCAAATAATATAATATTTTTGTGATAAATATCTCTACAAAAAGTTATTTTTTGTAAAATGCAAAGTGAATATATTATCATACCTAATGTTTTACTGGTTATTACATTTCTTATGATCACATGACAATTATTCATTTATTTTCAACAAAATTAATTATTATAAAAAAACAGGACCCACACCGTATATGACGTCACTTCCGTCTCGTGTCGTTTTTTCTATGTTTATTAATTAATATCTATCTTAAAACGTTTTCTTCCACTTAATCTTCGAATTTGAATCCTCGACTAAAGTAGAGAGCCTACAATTTTCATTTTTCTATGATTTCTATTCATCACAAAATATTCAAGGACTATGAAGGTAAAAACATCCACAAAGTAAAAGAGCAGCAAAGTATTCGGACAACTCTTGACAAATCTTGAATAGAACCATATTCAGGTTCATTAAACAATATAAATTAGTTCTATTTACAATGTAAAAGAAATAGGACAAAACCAGGAATTGAGATATGATATAATATTTTATGTGTGATTTTCAAATTATTGGACAATATAATCTAAAAATCAAATAATTTTATAGAAAATGGATGAATTTCAAATTTTTAAAATATCATGCCCGGTACTGTATTTGGGCCAAGATTTTTCGTGGTACGGTCCTGTTGCAATCGATACCAACATTCGAATTTAAAGCGCGAAAATCCCAAAACCGTACAAACCGTTACAATTCTTCAATTTAACCCGCACCAGACGTATAATTAGGATGATTGCACCCAATTACTCGCTTTTTTGTTGCGAAATTCCGCTGGGATTTTATAGTTTGTCGCCGAAGTGACAGCCGCGAAAAGTGAGGTTACGTCGATTAGTAAACGTCAAAAGCGTGTATGCGCGCTACTGCTGCATGGCTGGCAGTCTGTTGAAGCGCTTCATCGTCATGGCACCGAAAGTGGTATTCGTGTTGGGGGGCCCCGGAGCGGGAAAGGGCACGCAGTGCCAGAAAATCGTGGAAACTTTCGGGTACGTGCATTTATCTGCCGGGGACTTATTAAGAGAGGAGCGCGCTAAACCGGGCTCCCAATACGGGGAGCTGATAGAGAATTACATAAAAGAAGGCAAAATCGTTCCCGTGGAAATCACTTGCAGCCTGCTGGAGAACGCCATGAAAGTGAGCGGGCAGGACAGGTTCCTCATCGATGGGTTCCCCAGGAACCAGAACAACCTCGAAGGGTGGAACAAAACCGTGGCCAACAATGTGGAACTGCAGTTCGTGCTGTTCTTCGACTGCCCTTTGGATATTTGCACCGAGAGGTGTCTGCAACGAGGGGCGGCTGGTAGCGGCCGTACCGATGACAACTTGGAGAGTTTGAAGAAGAGATTCAACACCTACGTGCAAGAAACCAAACCCATCATCGACCACTATGCCACCATGGACCTGGTCAAAACAATTGACGCCACGAAAAATCCCCTGGAAGTTTTTGAAGACGTAAAGGCTATTTTTAAGGCTAAAGGGGCTGGAGACTCCTAGGGGTACTTAAAAATGCAGTCCAACATTCCTAGTATGTAGGCTAGTCAAGGTAACAACTCGGTGTTCACTTAATTATAGGTTTTGGTGGCATTTGTATATTTCTGAATAAATAAATCCAATTTGTCCTATTTTATTGATTGGTTTATGTTAGGTATACTTACACACTTAATTTTTACATTGATTTGTATTTACCTAGATAAGCTTTAAACATTATTTAAAAAAGTATTTGTTATCCAGCAATTTTAATACCAGTGGTCTTATGATAATAAAATGTTATTTTCACCTGAATTAATCTAAAAACAAGCTTTATCTATACATTAAAACATTTTATAAAACGAAGTTTTTTATTTTATTGTTGGCACCCCCGAAAATTCAAATTTTACAGACATATTAAAACCAAAAATTGACAAGTTTAGTGAAATTAGTGGTTTGTTATCTAGCAATGTTAATACCAGTGTTCTTATGATGACAAAAATATGTTATTATTACCTATAATAGTGTAAAACAAGCTTTTACCTTTCGATAGCATTGCGTGAATTTAAGAATGGTCAACAATACATTTAAAGCATACGAACTGTACATCATTTTTAAATAAATAGGTAGTTTTTTTACAAAAAAAAAGGAAGGCAGAAGTCTTACTCGACAAATTTTGTTCAATTGCACAGCTAAATCGCGCACGTTATTTGTGTTTTACGTCGCAAGAAAAAAACTAAAAAACTGGTTTAGTACTCGATTTCGATTGATCATTCTTTATATCATTGATTAAGAAACTCAACGCTTAAATGCTTATATAGTTACGTTAGTGTGTGTATTTTATCTAATGGATCATGGTGAATTATTGTGTTTTTAATTGTAAATAAAATTCAAGAACAAAATCGTTGCATTTTCATGTTTTGCCAAAGGATCCAATTCGGTAAGTACATTTGTTGGTGCAGAATTAACTAATGATAACTTTACCTAATATAATTTATATTTAAGTTTGGACATTTTTAAGAAATTAGTAAAAAATAATTTTTGCACAAACATAACCTTAAAATCAACCATTTTTATATTTGAGTTCTCTAAAAAACGCCGACAACTGCATTTTAAACAACAAAATAAACCTACGAATTCATGGCAACATATTATATATAATACATAATATAATGGTATTTTACCGTTGAGTGGAGACTTTCTTAATCAAACTTTTAATAATGCTAAATGCTGTCTAAATTTAGACGACTTTTTTGTTTGACGATAATTACTGAATTGAAATGTTTACACTTTTCACGTTAATCACTACTAAAATAGGTATGTATTTATTGTATCTAATAGGTACAATTTATATTTACAGAGACTGTTTTCAATTTATTTCTTCATTCAGATTTACACTGTTTATTGGAAAACCGGTAAAAACTCAACCCAGGATTTCCTATCGAAATACACCCAACAACACAACAAATCGAGCCAAGGTTTTTTTTTCCGATATTTTTTCGGCTTTATTCTCAAAAACACGTAACATAAGCGTTTGACTGTTAAACTTTGACAGCTGATTATTAAAAGTCGTACTTTTGTTACGATGATAAAAGCCGAGTGGTGGCGCTACTAGCGTATTGTTGGTACCCCCGAAAATTCAAATGTTGTTTTTGACAGTTGTTGACAGAGTTTGTGACAGTTTGAAGTCATGTTAAATCGATATAAAATCAACAATGTCGTCAATAAACATAACAAAATCATTCCCAAAAATGTCGAAAATAGTGTTTGTGCTGGGTCCACCGGCAAGCGGCAAAACGAGGCAATGTTCCTTCCTCGAAGATTATTTCGGGTTCGTCCACATAACCTTGTCGGAATTGACGGAGGAGAATAAGTTACTAAAACCGATAAAAGAGTTAATGAAGTTGATCACGTTCGAATTTTCGGACGTTAGGGCGACCAGAAAGTTTTTCATTTTGGATGGGTATCCGGAAACTATGAAACAGCTGGAATATTGGCAGAAAAGCGTCGCGCAGAACATAGATTTGCAGATGGTTTTGTTTTTGGATTGCCCTCTACAAAAATGCTTGTTAAGAGGTTTAGAAAGGCAGTCGTTTAGCAGGAAAGACGTCGATGAAGTACAGCAAAAAATCGATTATTATGTTAAAAATACTCTGCCAGTTATAGAGCACTTTAGAACAATGAAACTGGTGAGGCAAATTAATGCGGATATGACCTGTGAAAAGGTGTTTGTTGAAGTGCAAAAAGTGTTTAGAATTGGTGTAAAAGATATGAGGTTTTAAGAATAATTAAATGCTTTTTATTTGTCCTTAATAGGTAATAATTGTTTTAACCTTCTAATCCAACTTTAAACATTGAATTCTATCTTGTTGGGTCTATACGCTAAAGTATCGGGTTTTCGCAACGCTAATTTAAGAATTGTCAACAATTCATTTGAGCACAGATTATACATAATTTTTAAATAAATAGGTAGTTTTTTCAGAAAAGTCTTTCTCGACAAATTTTGTTCAATTGCACAGCTAAATCAACGCTTAAATGCTTATATAGTTACGTTAGTGTGTGCATTTTATCTAAGGGATCATGGTGAATTATTGTGTTTTTAATTGTAAATAAAATTCAGGAACTAAATCGTTGCATTTTCATGTTTTGCCAAAGGATGCAATTCGGTAAGTACATTTGTTGGTGCAGAATTAACTAATGATAACTTTACCTAATATAATTTATATTTAGGTTTGGACATTTTAAAGAAATTAGTAAAAAATATTTTTTGCACAATCAACCATTTTTATGTTCTCTAAAAAACGCCGACAACTGCTTTTTAAACAACAAAATATACCTACAAATTCATGGCAACATAATATTATATATGTTAAGGCTAATGTGCAAACTTGGATAGTTTATAAACTAGCCAAACTATCAGCTATTTTAATTGAAAACATATTTTCAACTAAATTAGCGGCTATAGTTTACAAAATAACCAAGGATCTTGGCTAATTTACTTGAAATTATTAGGGAAACTAAAATAGCTGGATAGTTTGTATACTATCCAATTCAGTTTGGCTAATATGAAAACCAAAATTTCTAGTAACACAAAATAGCCAAGCTTTAGCTAGTTTGTAAACTAACCAACCAATTCTCTGGCTAATTTATTAAAAAAGTGAGGTTACAGCATTGTTTTTTGTTTTGCCGGCTTAACCATAGGCAAAATTTTAACGCTTCCTTGTTAGAAAACTCAACAACACAATTCTACCGACCCCGCCCCATTGACCCCCCCCCGCCCCATTGGTCAAATGGTCAAAAATGAGAGAAAAAAACCCAAACCAACCCAAACTCAACAACACAACCCAACCGACCCCGCCCCATTGGGGATATTGTTTAACATTTTCCGGCTTTATTCTCAAAAACACTCGTTTGTAACATAAGCGTTTGACAGCTGATTATTAAAAGTCGTACTGTCTGTTTCTAAAAAATCAGGAGTAGCTTTTTCACAATAGCAAAAGTGAATGGCAAGGTCTGCAAGGGAAATAAGGTTATCTAAATTGTCAAATAAATACCTGGGTAAGCTTCTTGTGGGGCCACACAAATATCCATGTAGACTTGCTCAAAAGTGCCAACCAATTCGATTTCTTTTGCGAGGAGGTTTATTAAAGGTCTCATCATCCTTGCTGGGCCTGTAAAGAGGTATAAACCCGGGTACTGAGTGACGGTATCTTTTTTCGGTACCAGCACTATTTCCAGAGTGCTCGGGATCTTGACTCCTTCAATTTTGAATATCCTGAGACCGTCAACGAGCTTTCTAGCGTAGTCGATGTCGACGTAACCGATTACTCTGCCGTCCAGTTGGACGACGTACCAATTTTTGAGGTCCAGCGTGCTGAAGAACTTCAGAGGTACCATCCCCAACTCCGTCAACACCAACGGAATGTTGTCAAGTCGCGCGGTGTCGGGGGTTTCCGTGACGCGACAGCTCAACGCCAGGTGGTTCAAAAGACCGCACGGGGTGCCGTCGGGGGTGTGCACCGGGCAGATGAACCCCCACGCGTCCGGCAGCAGCTGCCTGGCTTCCGTGGTGCGCATCTCCTGAAAGAAAGCGCCTCTATGGACAGCCCTGAAGTGCGACATGTAGCGCATGCGGTTGATGTTCTCGGCCACGATGGTCAGGCCCTTGTCCTGCATCAGCCCCAGGCCGGAGCTGCTGGCGACGTTGCCGGTGGCCAGGAAGTTTTCGAGGACCCTGTCCAGGGACCCTGCGAACTTCGCGGCCTTGAGGATGTCCTGCTGCGTGAAGTAGAACGACGCGCTCTGCGATTGCTTCGCTATGTTGTAGCGCAGAGATGTCAGCCAGTTTTGAAGTTTTTCTTTGATGATTTGCAGATATAAATGACCACCTTGAGGTACAAAAATTACTTATAACAAAAGAACTTTAAATTTAATCGATTTAAAATACTACTGAAACCATTTTCAAGTAGAGTACTTAATAGTTTAACAGATATTTAAAATCAAGTACTTAAATGATTTAAGTTACAACGTTGAAAGTAACTTGAATTTATTAAAATTGTACTAACATTGTTAAAATAGTACTTCAACCATAGCATAAATTAATATTTAAACCTTTCAAATGATCATTAAAATCGTCATAATACACTCACAGGCAAAATAATCGATCCACACAAATTTTCTATGAATTTCAATCGCCAATAACTTTTTTATTTGATGTCGAATTTAAACGAATATTAAAGAATATTGTAGATACATTAATGGAGAATCGCTCACATTTTAAAAATTACTAAAAAATACACGTACGTTTATAATATACAGGTTTAAACAAAAAGATGTTTTTTACCATAAGTTTAAGACACTCTGTAGAGTGGCAAAACCGTATATTGTTCTAAATTAATGATAATGATATATTTATTCTTGTGGAAAACATGGATTTTTAAAAAAACAATGCAATTTCCAATATTTTTCCTGTATGAAGAACTAAGGTTGCTATTGTCCATCCATAGCCTATGGAGGATGACAGTTTTGTTGAATCCTCCCATACTTGGAGATGTCATATATGTATATATACAGCTTTCAAAAGATATCAAATTGTTTTTTGTAAATTAATGTGTTGATTTTGAGGTGTCTGTCATTCTCCATAACCTATGGATGGACCATAGCAACCTTAGTTCTTAATACAGAAAAATATTGGAAATTGCAATGTTTTTTTTTTAATCCATATTTTCAACAAAAATAAAAATATCGAAGTGAACCAAAAACAAAACTGTTAAGAATAAAACTTAATTTAGAACAATATACGGTTTTGCCACTCTACAGAGTGTCTTAAACTTATGGTAAAAAACATATTTTTCTTTAAACCTGTATATTATAAACGTACGTCTATTTTTTACTATTTTTTTTAAAATGTGAGCGATTGTCCATTAAATTATATACAATATTCTTTAATATTCGTTTGAATCCGACAACAAATAAAAAAGTTATTTGCGATTGAAATTCATCGAAAATTTGTGTGGATCGATTATTTTGCCCGTGAGTGTAGTACTTAAACTATATAACTGAAATAGTTAAATTAGTTAAATTAATACCAAAGCCAAAAATTGTACTAACATTGTTAAAATAGTACTTAAAACATTTAAAATTGTTAATAAAGTACTTCAACTATAACATAAATTAATATCATTAAAATGGTCAAAATAGTACTTAAATCTTTTTAAATTGTATTTATAATATTTAAACTGTTTAAAATTTTCAAAATAATACTTAAATTATTCAAAATTGTTAAATATAGTACTTAAAAACATGTTAAAATCCTCAAAATAGTACTTTAATCATTTAAAATTGTACTTAAACCTTTTAAAATCGTAAAAATAGTACTTAAACTATAACTGAAATAGTTAAATGTAGTTAAATTGTCATAATAGTATTTAAATATTTTAACATTAATAATAAAGTAGGTACCTTGCCCATTTAAAATAATTAAAATAGTACTTAAACCTAAACCATTTAAATATCGCCATTTCAAATTGTTAGAATTGTATTTGAACCGTTTAAAATCTAAAAAATATTAAAGTATTTTATAATTGTCAAAATAATTCTAAATTGTTAATTAACTCAAACAATTTAAAATCATAAAAATAATACTCAAACTGATATAGTTAAATTATTACTAAAGCCTAACAAATTCCTATTAAAATCGTCAAAATAGTAATTAACCCACTCAAAATTATTAAAATTATATTTAAACCATTTACAATGGTTAAAATTATACTTAAACCGTTTAAAATTTTGAATACAGTACCTACTTAAACCATTTTAAAATCCTCAAAATAGTACTTTAACCATTTAAAATTGTTAATATAGCACTTTATTTGCATATGTATGTTTTCTTTTCTCTTCTACAGTATCTCATTATTTTCGTAAATAAACTATTATTATTATTATAAACCATTTAAAAATCGTTAAAATACTAAACAATTTTAAATCGTTGATTATAGTACTTGATATATATTTTAATGTTCTCAAAATACGACTTAAACCATTTAAAATGATTACAAAATTTTAAAATCTTAAAACTAGTACTTAAACTATAACTGAAATAGTTAAATCAATACTTAAACCTTTCAAAAGCCCATGAAAATCGTCAAAATAGTACTTAAATCTTTTAAAATTGTATTTATAGTTCTTAAACTGTTTAAAATTGTAAAAAAAGTACTTAAACCATTTAAAATTGTTAATATAGTACATAAAAATTTCAAATCTTAAAAATATTACTTTAACTGTTTAAAATCGTTTAAAGAGTACCTACTTAACATATTTTAATACTGTCAAAATACGACTATTCAAAATTGTTAATAAAGTACTTAAAAATTTTAAAACCTTCAAAATAGTACTTAAACCATAACAGAAATAGTTAAATTATTACTAAATAATTTCCATTGAAATTGTCGAAATAGCACTTAAATCTTTTGAAATTGTAATATAGTACTTAAACCATTAAAAAAATCAAAATACTACTTAAACAATTCAAAATTGTTAAAATTATACTTAAACCGTTTAAAAATGTTAATATAGTACTTAAACCATTTAAAATTGTCAAAATAGTACTTACACTATTACAAAATAAATTTAAGTATTTTGACGGTTTCAAAATTGTAAAAATTGTCCTTAAACCGTTTAAAATCGTTAATATAATTCTTGATCTATTTTAAAAATGTCAAAACACGACCTAACCCATTCAAAATTGTTAATATAGTTCTTAAAATCGTAAAAAAATACTTAAATCATAACTAAAATATTTAAAATAATACTAAAATTCCATTAAAATCGTCAAAATAGTACTTTACCATTTAAAATGGTCAAAATGGTAGAAATAATATTAAAACTTAATATGTAAGTTGTAGTACCTTAAAATTGCCAACAAGAAATTAAATCATTCAAAATTGTTAAAATTGTACTAAAACCATTTAAAATTGTTAATATAGTACTTTAACAATTTAAAATAAAATTAAATGTTTAAAAATAGTTAATATACAATGTCATAAGTAATGGTTGCCATGGAAATAATCATGACTTGGTTATTATTAATTACCAATAATAATAATAAATTACCAAATTAGAAAAATGTTTTCCATTTTTTATATAAATAATGACTGAAAAACTATTTTTGCCAAACTTATTATATATTTTATACAATTTTTCTTACCTAATAAAAGCTCTTGCATCATGACAGCATCAGCCCCCTCCAGCTTGCATTTATCCTGCGCGAAAGCGAACAATTTCTGCGTCATAAACACCAACATGTTGAATTTATCCTCCCCAGAATTTAAATGAATCAAAATGCATTTGTTCAGTATAAATTCGCCTATTTCTATATCAGTCCACCATTCAGGACATTCATAGAACTTTATCCTGAACATTTTGCCCAAGTAGGCTTTGCACTCTTCATGGGTGTGCAGATTTTCGACGTGCAAGCCTCTTAGCATGTTTTGTACAGCACTAAAATGATTCAATCAATTATATATGTTGTAACATAGGGAAAACTTACTCTGTATAGTATAAATCTTCCTCAAAACCGTGTGTAAGCTTTTGGTATATGTATTGATCGCTAAAATCGCAAAAACACTTCAATATAAGGCACAAGGGGGCATAATACAGAACTTTTCGGTAGCTGAACATTAATTTGGCACTGCCATCCGTGACAAAATGTAGTACATTGTTCTAAAATTTAAAATAATCAATAATTTTATCAAATAAATTAATAAAAAATTTCTTACAGTAGCAGTTTGATCATCTTTGACACATCGTATTGAAACCCCTGCATCAGAGAACAAAGCCCCCCGCATTTTCCACCCTGAACGTTTTATAGCTATAGGGTAGTTTCTGCGAGTCATTAAAAGCATTCTCACTATCCTTTCGTGACCTTTAACCACAAAATATCCACCCCATTCTTGTTCGTGTTCCCCATGCTTAACCAAGTCTTTGGGGGTCATAGAATTCAAATGACAACGATTCGACTGTAATATACTCAAAATAAAACATTTTTAACTACTAAAAAACATATAATTACCTTTATCATAACTGGTATATCACCCATATCCTTTTCAAACGACAACTGTTGCACATCATCCAAAAACCAGCTAACACTAATCATAAATTTACCTTTGTAGGTGGCAGCCCGTTGCCTACATTCCGTAGGGTAAACCAACCTATTTCTTACCCCTATAGTGCCCAAAGGCACCTCAGGGGATTCAAAACTAAAATCATTCACTTCTAACCTAACTTTTCTTTCGTTTACAACAAATTCCACAGGGTTTAAGTCTGCTATAGCCTTCTTTAAACCCTCATTTATCATGTAGTTGAAGCTGGCGATGTGGTGGGCCCCCAGCTCGTGAAGTATCTAAAAAAAACATTTTTGAAAAATCATAACCTCAATTACGCACGTGTTATTTTTTGGTTTGCGGTTTACAGCAAGTACTTACCGCATTTTGTTTGTCAGGGGGCTTCCCGAACTCGTTGTTTGTTAGGTTTTTTAAAGTCGGTTCTTGTAGCATGTTTTTTACATTTATTTATTTTTGTGAAAGTTAGGTTAGGGTCAAACCGTTGACTCAAACGCCCGATCGTTATGCAACCCAGAAGTCATACAAAGTTTGTATTGCATAAATATCAATTAAGGTAAGTTAATAAAACTATTTTTTGCTGAAATAAGTATATTTATCACAACAAATTTGTAATAGTACAAAAAATTACAAAACCTGTAAGTTTTGAACCGAGCATATCACAATAATTCTTTGTTATAATACTGAAAATTAAACCCTGTAAGTATAGTACGTATAGTACGTATTTTACGTAAAACAGAAAACATGTTAATACGATTTTTTAATGGACCAATTTTCGTATAAGATACATTTTTCTATTTAACTTAAAACACACAAATTTGATTTTAAGGTGAAAGTAATACTTTTCTTGTAAATGTATTTTTATAGGACAAGGACGGTAATGGTAATTTTAATTTTTAATAATTTTGTGCAAAAAATCACCTACGTTTGACACAATGTTACGCTAAATTTTAATTTTAATATAGTTATGAAAAGTGTATAAATTTTAGGTTAAAAGCAAGAAGACTAAAGTGACTTCCCCTTTAATATTAGTCTTCTCGGTTGAAAGCTTATTTATAAGCTAATTATACACTATGCTTAAGCTTTTGTACCAAACCAATTAAGATAAAAGCTAATGAACAGTTTTTTGCTTGCATTTGACTTAATCATTGGTTTCTTCAGACTTGTGGGTTAAAAAATGGTGCCATATCCTAAAATTTAACTAAAACTAAAAGGTAAGGTATATAAGTGGTTATTTAAGCCTAAGAATTTGAAGATTCTATAACTCTAAAAAGAGGAGCTGACCTCAGCAAAACTTCAACGGCATCCTCACGATCTAGCTCGTGCAAAGAGGAAACTAAAGCACCTGTAAGTAGAAATAAAACATTAGACCAAACAACAGAGATCTAAGGTTATGTTGTTACCTATGGAGCAGTCGGCTGTGGTGAGCAGTCTCATGGTGTGGCTGGAATGTTGGGAATCCAAGGCGGCGATTTTTTCCTGACACAATCCGAGTTTGAGGGCCAAAAGGCACCAATCGCGGCCGTGCTTTTCCGGCGGGTCCAGGAGACCGCACAGCTTTAGTTTCACCGGGCCTGAGAGGTCCTGGACTTTAGATACGCAACCCCAGTGCATATTGCTTGCCAATTCCACGTTACCGAACATTATTAGCTCAACGATGGTCTCGTGTTTTTCCCTAATTGGATTAAAGAGAGTTATGTCGAGTGTGGACTCAGCTTCCAACATGGATGTGGAAATGGATTGTGGCTCGTAGCAGAAAGGTTCATCACAATGCGCTTTCAAGTCTTGCGAACTGATCACGTGTTTTTCTATCATTAAACCCGGACATACTTTATATAAGGCCTACGAAAAACCTTTTAACAACTCTCTACGCAACAACCTACACTGGCAAACCTGTTCTATAGTCTTTAAAATGTTGTCCAAAAAGTAGAAACATTGTACTGAGGTATCGTTTGGTCCCCTGACTTTTATTTCAATGTATTCGTCTTCTTCCAAGGTTATCAGGCTTTCCAACTCGTTTGCGCACAGCTTCGAACCCATGTACCATTGGTAGAGGTCGGTGTCGCTGTCGTTGTTGGTGTAGAGTTGCATGGAAACTTTCCTCAACTCGACCTAAAACGTATCAGTTGCGGTGCCTCAAATTTTAGAAAATATTACCTGTAGGTGTGGGAACACCGATTTGAATAGGTGTAAGGTGCCTGGAGGTGTATATAGCCTCACACCTCCATATTTGGAGTCTTTAATCGAGTATCTAGGGTCTCTGAAATCCCACAGACCTTCCAGTGTCTCCATGTGGTTGTATATAGGGAATTCGTACTCTATTTCGCCATCTATGTCGCACTATAAACAATTTCGTCCAGTGACAAACTTATGGTGTGGTAATGTTGGTATTGAGTACCTGTATGCATACATCCAAGGCTTCCAAGAGATCTAGCACCCCTAGGGCGTCGCACTGATTGTAGCTCGCTTGAAAATCGTCCGTGGTATAGACACCAGTGACTCTCGCGTGCAATAAAAAATGGTTCGATAGCAACTCGCCTATTAGTTGGACGCCCAGCCAAGGTACAGAGATTACAACCAAATCTTGTATACAAAAAACCTTAAAAATTATTATTATCATTTGTATGTTTTGGGGTGTTTTGGTTGGGTACTTCTCCCATGGAGTGAAGTTGCTGCAACAGCTCATCTATGTGGTCATCTGACGCCAGTAAATTGACCTGACATCGCAGTATCTCGGCAAAAACCGGCCTGGTTAGTACTGGAAACTGTTCGTAATCTTTTTGTAAAGTGGCAAGCCACGTTAGAGATGCTTCCAGCAATCCAGTCCACGTCCCAACGGTTTGCTACAAAGTTATCAGCATTTAGAAATTGTTGTTTCGTAAGAAATCTGGCAAACAGGTGGTGAAAAACCAATGTCTATCTATGCATATGTTTATAAGGCTACGTTGGCATTTGTACAGGTTTTGTGAAGGCGCTAACATGGTGAACTAACTAATACAGGGACATCTCACTTAATCAATACCTTACTGCAGTATGCGGTCGATAGTAACTTATATTTTCCGTTTTTATTAAAAACAAATTGGCCTATTTTACCCTGTAAACATCGTTAAGTCATTACATGCCGCAAGGATCCAACCCGGGACCACTGCAGTAATCGACGACTCACCTGAATCAACTCCTGCCTCATGTTGGACAAAATGGACTTCAACTGCTTGAACGCGTACGACGCAGGCACGTTGCAGTCCACAACTAGAGCATGGGACATCAGATTCGGGGCGTGTGGGACCATTTTCCTGACGGACTCCAGCGTTTTCTGGGCGTCTGGACTCAACCACTCGCCGTTCTGAGTCTTGACGGCTCTGGTCAGGTCCACGTGCGTTCCTATGAGGACTATTTGGCCATACTCGGCTAAAATTGGGTGTTGAATTGTTTGAAACAGTCAAAGTATATACTACCTGTTGGTAGATCTGCTGATTCTCTGGCCAGTATGAAGTTCAACCAAAAGCACACCTGCTGGACTTGCGTGGTGGGAGGATCTTCGAGATTGAACAAAATGGCTGTCAAAGAGTATGGGGTGGGCCATAGAAAGTGATGATACACAGAAAAATAGCTCTCTTGGCCTGAGAAGTCGTATACGGTAACATCTCCGACGTTTGATATGCTCATCTGCAAATAGTCCGGATAATTTTTTTTTTCTAGTGATGATGAACTTACATTTTGTACGCTTATTCCATTTGTACCGTTGTTCGCTGGCGACTCGAAGCTCAACGAGTTCTGTCTTGACGTTACGTCCATCTCTATTTGAGTGTTGATTGGGGATGATGGTCTGGCTGCAAATAATCCACCGTGGTGGAATAACATGAACCTCCACTACATCAGAAACTCACATTTATTGCTCTGCAACGAGCTGGACCTCCTGAAGAGACTGCTGAACAATCCAGCACCTAGAGACTTCACCACAGACGTTTTACCGACTCCGCAATGCCCTAGAAGCCGCAGAGACAGCCTCAAAGCGGATTTGGAGGTGGGAACCAGCTGTCTAGCGAAAGCATCGCGTTGGCCTGTCACTCTAAGCCGATCGAGGAGCTCTGCGATGTCGTTGTGGCCATACTTCAGAGCCGTGATGTCCGCTTTTATGTTATCGGAGTTTCTGATGTCGATGTTACATCCCGATGCGCACAAGCACCTTGACATTACAATGGAAGGTGCTACTAGTACTACTACTAATATAAATCTAAAGGAAGTTACCTAACAACTGGTATATGTCCATTTTTGGCCGCCAAATGCAGAGGAGACAGTCCCTTTTGATTGGCCACTTCTACACTACATCCTAGTGAGCATAAAGTATGCACAATATCTAAGAGGCCTAGTGTGCATGCTATATGGATAGGGTAGTCCCCCATGCTAAAAAAAAAAGGGACGTTTATTATAATAGGTCTATCTATATAGTCTATCACTTGTTTCATATTTTAAAAACTGAGTACTTACAGAGTCCCTACATTCAAAGTCCGCCCCTGCTTGCAATAAAAGGTGTGCTATGAAAACGTTTTGTTTGTGCAGGGCCAAATGTAGGGCTGGATCCGGGCCTGCGTCTAAATCAGCTCCACTTTCAATTAAATACCTTAAAAATTGTTGTAGTTTGGTTTTTATTTAGTAAAAAAAAAACTATAACACAATTTCTTACCGAATTTGTTCGATAGACCCGCGTCTAGCCGCAAATTGTAGCGCAGTGTTTTCGAAAGACCCTGCAGGGCTGTACGAAGGACCTCTGCTTAGGGACCCGCTCATTTTTCACATCTACATTATAAACAAACCATCTTATAAGTAGGGACATTTTAATTGCGACTGTACTTACGATTGTTCAACATTACCGCGTAGAGAAAACAAGATGTTTTTGTCTTTAAAACTGACACTACGTTGTTTAGTAAGTTTCCAGTCGTTCCACTGCTGCTCAGCTGATCTGTAAAAATCAATATAGTGTGGGTGGATGACGGAAAATAAATAATGCATTGAATAGACCAAAAATAGAACAAGTGTTTGTTTAATTGATTTTACATTTCAAATAGTGGTTTATATATTGAAATGATTTAATTTAGTTTATGAAAAAATCAATAAAAACAAAAAATATAAGGAAATGCTAAATATTTAGGTATACATTTTTTAACATAATAAGCCTCTTTTTAAGGCATGTTTCAGGCATAAACATTTGATTAAAACTATTCCTAGAATAATTAACTTACTCAACGCTGGTATAGTAGGCGCGAAAAGACAGAAAACTGTAAAACATGTTCAACATTTAAAATTCATTCAACAGGTGCACCTAGGTGGTGCAAACACAAATACTCCAATCAAAGTTTTTTCAAATTTTGTATTTTGAGGATTTTCTCTAAAAACTTGGTAGAATAAGAAAAAACAATAATAAACTAAAAAAGTTTGACCTTGAAATGAAATATTTTAAGAAAGTTTATCAACATTTATTTTATACACGGTGTGCCTAAACGAAGTTTAAGTCACATAATAATGCCGCCAAAAACTGATTGCAGTTTCTTGTTCGGGACCCTTTATTTATATTTACCAAAATCCTAGCTGCTCCTCTTTTCAAATTTTTTTTTTAAATTTTTGTTTATCTTAAAGTCTACCTTTGACAGAGTACACATTTGTACACCGATTTTTATAATATTGGAGTATATTGTTAAGGAGATTTGGAGAATACTTTTTTATATTGTGCACATGATTTAATATATACAGGGTTAGCCAAAAATCGCTTCTTTTAATAAAGAAAAAGGGTAAATTCATGATTTTGATATATACCAACCCATGTTTTTTTAAATATTTTTATGTTTATCAGGCTACAAAATGGGATTCTTATTAAGACTTTATAAGAAAACTTGATTTTAATTAAAATTAAATAAAATAACATTTTTGAGACAAATCTTTTTTGTGCATTATGCTTTTGACTATATAAAAAAGTGATTTTTGGCTATAGCTATAAGACTGTATAAATCTATAGAATACTGTTTTCATACTGAGCACATCATTATAATGAGGTGATCAGTATGAAAACAGTATTCTCCAAGTCTCGTTAACAATACACTCCAATATTATAAAAATCGGTGTACAAATGTGTACCTACTCTGTCAAAGGTAAGATAAACAAAAATTAAAAAAAAAATTAAGAATTTTCAAAAAATTTCGAAAAGAGGAGCAGCTAGGATTTTGGTAAATATCATTTTAAAGTTACCAAAGGGTCCCGAACAAGAAACTGCAATCAATAAAAATCTGTGTACAAAGTTGGACTTTGCGATAGACAAATAATTAAAAAAAATAATTTTTTAACAAATTTGAAAAAAAGCAGTTAGAATTTTGGTAAATATCGTTTTTAAATGTCCGAAGAGTGCCGATCAAAAAACTTTAATCAGTTTTCGTTCAAAATTGAAAACTACTAAAAAGCCTAAATTAGACAACATTTTAAATATTCTCTAAGCGTTATTTTATTTAATTTTATTAAAAATCTATTTTTTTTATAAAACGTTAATAAGAATGCTATTTTGTAACCTGATAAACGTAGAAATATCTAAAAAAAATGGGGATAAATCTTTTTTGCGTGTTATGCCAAAATCATGAAATTACGCTTTTGCTTTATCAAAAATAAGCGATTTTTGGCTCACCCTGTATATATCAAATGATGTGAACAGTATAAAAAGTATTCTTTAAGTCTCCTCAATAATATACTCTAATTTTATAAAAATCGGTGTACAAATGTGTACTCTGTCAAAAGTAGCCTTTGAAATGAACAAAAATTTAAAAAAAATCATGAATTTTCAAAACATTTCGAAAAAAGGAGGAGCTAGGATTTTGGTAAATATTATTTTTAAGTCACCAAAGGGTCCCGAACAAGAAACTGCAATCAGTTTTTGGCGGCATTTTTATGTGACTTAAACTTCGTTCAGGCACACCGTGTATCTATGTAGACCCATGCTTAAACAATTTGTGCAAAAAATACAGTAAAAAACTATATCGTGTGGCAGTGTAAATATTTAAAATACATCATTGACTACTCAAACATAATTTTACATTTTAAATTATCATTTTGTAGTCGTTTACTCGCATCTACTAGGTATAAACGCATACGGCAGTGTAGTAGCTATTCGATAGCTAGACCGTGCTGCATTCAAATATGAAAAACTTCCCTTCTACATGTCGGGCCCACTCTAAATTTTTTTTTAATTCAAAGGTAACATAATAAACTTGGATTTTATGCTACTTTAAAAAAAATTAAAAAATACACATTGTTTCAAAAAATGTCAAATTTTGCAAAATTTCAAAAAAAAATTGCAATTTTTATTTTTTTGCAAAACGGATAGCCCATTGAAAAGTACGGAAAAAATCATATAAGGTGGTTAAATTGAAATATTTAATAAAGAGATGAACAGAAGTTATGAATTTTTAAATAAAAAGCGATTTCACCAAAAAGTAAAAAATCGATAAATTTCAATAATCCATAACTCTTAAATGAACAATCCTAGAGCAAAAAAAATGTATGCTATGATTCTTCGTTATAAGAACAACAAATAAGTAAAGTTTAAACAAAATCGGTGACAAAAATTTTTTCACCTGGTACACTTGGCAAATTTTTCCCCATTTATAAACACTTTTTAATTTAATAAAAACCCCATTAAAAAGTCTAAAAATCTACGTGTTCAAGAAATTTTGCAATAAAATTATTATTGTACTTAATTACGCACAATTCTAAAAATATTTGTTTTTAAATATTTATCCAGTATTGCAACAGCCATGTCCAACAATTCCTTTAATTTAATGTACGACACAAGATATTGAATACAAAAATAAATATTGCAAAATATCTGGTAATTTATGTGTCATGTCAGACGAAATATACAGGGTGGGTCATTGAAACTTTGAAATATCTTCGTTGGTATGCATTTTACGAAAAAAAGTTTAAAATAAAAGGTAAATTCTCATATAACTTGTTTCGATGCTGTATCCACTTATTTTTGTGAAAACTAATTCTCGCTCAAGGTTTTTTTTAGTGTAATGAGCAAGTAGCATTTTAAGGTAATGGGAACTTAAATTATGACAACCCTAATCTATTAATTTTTTCCTAAAATGCAGGCTTTATGTTGCAAATGTCACATAAGTTACCGGTCACCAACTGCAATATCCTAACATTGATGAATATTTTAACAAAATGGCTGTTGAAACAACTAATGTTAGTGCTTGATTAACTCAATATAGACTTAATTAAGATTGACGAAAAATTCTTTTATCCGAAATCGGCAGTAAAGTAGAACTTTACTGCCGATTTATTTTAATTTACGATTGTTGACTACTTTACTGCCGATTTCGGATAAAATAATTTTTTGTCAATCTTAAGTCTATTTTTAGTTAATCAAGCACTAACATTAGTTGTTTGAACGGTCATTTTGTTGAAATATTCATCGATGTTAGGATATTGCAGTTGGTGACCGGTAACTTATGTGACATTTGCAACATAAAGCCTGCATTTTAGGAAAAAATTAATAGATTAGGGTTGTCATAATTTAAGTTCCCATTACCTTGAAATGCTACATGCTTATTACACTAAAAAAAACCTTGAGCGAGAATTAGTTTTCACAAAAATAAGTGGATACAGCATCGGAACAAGTTATATGAGAATTGACCAAAAATGAAATGATTCGAGGGGAGAAATCAATCAGTACTAAAATTGGTCCTCATACTCTCCTCCTTATAGGGGGAACAGGGGGTAACTTTAAAATTTCCAATGGAACACCCAATTTTTTATTACAGATTCGGATCATTCGAATAAAAATAGGTAGATTTTGTCTAAAACATTTTTTCATATTTGTAATGGATGGCGCTGTAATGAAATAAAATCAATTTTGTTTGATTTTTTTTCTTAAACGATTCTGCAATAATTTTTCTATAAAAATATCACTTATTTTGGTAATAACTATCTTATTAAATTAAATCTGAATTTTTTAAGTACCCACGATTTTTGAATATTTAAGTTTCCTTAGGTTTAAGTTTTATATATAATAATGTATACATTATTTCATTCGGTGTTAATTATCAATTGCGCACCATGGTCACATTTTACCTGCCAGCATTAAATCCTTTAATTTAAAGGATTATTGTACTATTTTTAATAAAAATACCTCATTTAAGGTAAAAAAACATTATTTTGTCAATTATTTAATTTAATCCTAATTGAGGTATAAAAAATGGTATTTAGTTATACCAATTTTAGTACTGATTGATTTCCCCCCTCGAATCATTTATTATTTATTTTAAAAAAAAATTCGTAAAATATTAATATAAATATAAAATATATTTCAGTTTCAAGTTAAATGACTCACCCTGTATGTGAATACACGTCAAAACATATTTTTGGAATTGCAATTTAAAAATAACTGTTTATTTTAATTATAATAAACCTTTTATTGTTTTTTAAAGTATAAGTAGCTATAGGTTTGCCAGGTTTGAAACAAATCTTCAAGATTACTTTTGAACATGTATAATTATATACATACCTACAAAATATACATACAATTTTTATTAAAAAAAAATTCCTGGAAAATGAATTAAATAAAATTTGAGTCGTGACCTAATGATAAACAAAATTTAAATAAATTCTGGGTAACGATATACGAAATAAGCAAATATAATCCTATAGAATAATATATGTGTGTGTACTTTATTTTAAATGACGCTAATTATAAATTTCCAAGTTGATAAACAAATTTATATCATTTCGCTACATTTCTTGAC